GCAATCCCACATCATCACTCATCACCACTGTTATTTCTAAAATCATCACTGCTCTCAGATCAATGACTTACATCTATAATCCTGGAATCTCTCTCTGGAGCAGTTACTTGTCATACTAAGTATGCACGTAATACACTATTGGACACTATCGTAGGCACGTTTTTCCACTAATCAGATGGCGTCAATCTCATAGAAATGGGCAAGGGAATAAAAAACAACAACAAAAAACTCCCCAAAAACCAAACTTCTGTATTCCCCTAGAAGTGAGCCCCGTCGCCAAAGCAAACAGAGCGTTGAACAATCTCTCCCTGTCTCACTCGTCTTCACAACTCACGCACTCATTGGTTTTCTCTCAAAACCATTGTCTGTGGTTATTCCTCGGTGAACAAAAATGTAATATATAACTTAATTTTCCAATCAAGCTTTCAGATTCTATAAGTTGGGGACTTTGACAACTCGCCTATCTCACTGCTACATCCTCGAACAGACTTCTTTGGTTTTGTCGCCAACGACACTCGAATTGATTCCACATTTCCCCCAGTTTCGCAAACACTTACTCCCTACATTAGCGGCCTTCTGACGGACATTCCCTCACCTTACACTGTTTGTATCAGCTCTACATTGCTCTCTCAGAGGTTTCACTACATCTAGACCTAGATCCCGAATCAACTTCTACTCCACTCAATAACAGACCTTCAGCCACCTATCGGACTTGCATTCAGCGTACATGTATTTTCTAACGCAAGAGGCCTTTTCTGGGCTACTCCAAAACACAAGACATAGCTGAAATAGCGCTGCTCGTCTGACCACTTCAGATTGGAGCAGAGACAAGGACGTCCGGATGATCAAACAGAATTCCTGACAAATTTGGTACAGATCTGCGCAAAACTGGAGAATGTTTTCTCGCGGTCACCGCGTTTAGGACATAAGGTAAACCCCTCCCCCTCCCCTTTCCTCCACAAACACAAAAAACGCCGGCGGGCAGTCACAGTCACAGGACCAGGATGTGACCCACATAGCATCCGGCCGCTGACCAGTGAGACAAGGTCACTGACGACCACTGGAGAGTCGGTCGTTACAAACCCCGGCGGCTGTCAGTGCGTGGGGTAATAAACACATCTTATGATGACGTCAGCCCACCTTAGTATGACGAGACAATCAATATTTCGCCTCGTTTGAATTACAAAGTTCTATATATGACATTTTTGGCTGTTTTGAGAGACTTAGACCATGACGTAAGAAACCAAACGCTACCTGTGGGAACAGACCAGGCCGGAAGATAGCGATACTAACTAGCATAAACAATCGAGTGCTAGAATGGTAGTTATTATTATTATGACAGTGTCTGGTGTATCCGCTCCTACAGTCAGCTGATAGGGGATCGTCCATGTGCTCAAATCTCACGTTCAAAGCCCACCCAGAGACACCTAGCGTTGGATTTTCTTTTGTAATAGAGGTTTTATGGCGATCGCAACTGCATTAGGTCATAATAATATTAAAAGCGCCAAGGGGTGGATGTCATAGGAGAAGTCCAAACAGGGAATCAGACTTACTCTGCTCACCTCTCTAGCTTCAACAGCACAAAGTCTGCTTCGACTATCAAGGCACCCAGGAAATAGCGGGTCACAAGAGTGTAACAAACACACAAAAGAAGTAGAGGAAAAATGACGATAGTAAGGACGAGAAAAGAAAAAAACAGCAGTTCCCTATTGCAGTTCAGGCACAGTTATAAGAATGGCATTGATAAATCAGCCCATTTACAATTCTACTGTGCGTAAGAACGTGTTAATGTCCCCCCTTCGGGAATGGCCTAATGACACTTCAGTCAGTGCCACATCCACAGAATATTACAACAAACAGATGCTACATTCACAGAATATTACAACAAACAGATGTCACATTCACAGATGGTCACGACAAACAGATCTTGGAGTCACAGAACTCCCAACAAACTATCTATGTAAAGCGAGTTTCCCTATCTGCAGTACCTCTATCCCCCCCCCCCCCCCTCCCAACTGAGTCTAAACTCTCAGCTTATTTCACTCGATATATTTGTAGGTTTTCTTGATTTAGATCCTTCCCCCCCCCCCCTCCTGACCTTGAGCTATATGCAGGAGGAATCACTTACAAGAAACAAGGACACAGTTCTGACTGGAGTAACCTGTTGACCCACTGAGAGCTCTCACACCTGCCGCACATTGGCGAGAATCTTCCCCCTCCCCTTCCTCCTTCCCCCACTCACCCCCTCCCTTCCCCGTGAGGAGAAGATAACGCATTGTCTTTACACCACCATGTGTGAGTGTCTCTCTCTCAGCCTGAGTTCACCTCTACATTCAGTGGATGGATGGATGGATGGATGGATGGATGGATGGATGGATGGATGGATGGATGG